CTGCTGAAAAGGATGTAATTTTATTTATGACATTTAAAAAGGGTTCTATGGGAGGAATAGTTATAAATCATGAGATCATCTAGCAAATTGCACATCTGTCTTCAATTTCTTTTTCAAAAATTAAGTAATATTAATAGATTGATTTTTTTTTTACTTAATCAGTTCCCTCAATTTTGTAATACTGTTGATTTCAGAAAATATTTCTTTCCAGCAGCTGCCCTAAAATTTGGAGGACTTCAGAAGATTTTCTAGATGTCTCTGCCCCTCAGTAACCATTGTTGGTGATGCCAATTATCACACCAGAAATTAAGATGTACAGGGACTAGGTTCCTAATTCTGCTATCAGATCCCCACACCTGTGCTTTGAAGTAAACACTACTGAAGTAAACAGGGCTCCAAACAGGTGCAGGGATCAACATTTATGTGTTTGAACACAGTGTTGGGTCCTAGGAAATTAAATAATATCACAACCTAAATATGCCCATGTAAGAAACACATACCATTTTGGCAGCTTGCCATGGTATTAGTGTATATGGTACTCAACCTAATGAATGATTTTATGTAATTAAACATCTTGGTGCTGATCAGAAAACTATAAAGTCAATGAAAATTTTATCATTGACCTCAGTCAGGTGAGGACTTCATCTCCAAAATCCAGGAGTGAACAATTTCCTTGGAGGAAAGAAAAGACTTGACACAGATGGGACACACCATGGTTAAATTGGAGAGGTAATTGGTAATTATGTAATTACCCTTTTTGTTGGGAGAAATCTTAAATATAACCTATTTCAAAAGATTTGTAATTGTCATGTGTCAATTAATGCTTTATTCCCTTTCCATAATCTTCATTGTCCCTTGTAAAGCTAAAATAACTTTCCTGATATCTGTCATGTTATCTAGTAATAGTGATGCATCAGCCATAAAGCAACAAAACTGAAGTTTGTTACTGAGCTCAGAACATTATTAGTATCATGGCTGAGATACTCATGTCTTGCACTTCAAAACTGTATATTATCCTATCCTGTCTCTCAGTAGAGTCTTTTTCTCTCAGACTGATTTTCTCTCTGCAGAAAACAGGAGTGGCCACTTTCCAGAGATCCCTGCTGTGTTGGTCTCCTTTATTGCTCTGTTGACTACTTCCCTGAAATTTCTCTGGCCTTGCCTAACAAAGCCTTACCTCCTACATCTAACTCTGCCCACAATACAGTGCTTGAAATTCTGCTTTATTGCCTTCTGCTGTAGAAATACAGCATGTACAGACATTGTGTTCCAGATTCCACATTTGGTGCTCTCCCTACTAGCTATGCATTTCCAGGAGCATTCTCTCTGCTCTTCTGCAGTTCGGACAACTGGCTTTAAGAAGCTATGTGTAGTTCTGACAACTGGCTTTAACAAGCCAGAATGCCACAATAATTTTCTGCCTGTTGGCTACTTTTTGTGAGTAAAAAAAACTATTGGCTATGACTTCAAGTAACTACCAAATTATTAAAAAGTTTTCTTTTGAAAAAAAATGTTGTCACTGGAAATGTTGACATTCGGTTGTGCCTGCTGACATAGTGTTATCAGAAAACTATTTTTGCTTCAGAACACAAAGGTTATGTCTACACAGCAGAGTTCTTTCAGATTAACTGAAATAACATGGTCCACATCTACACAGAAAGCAGTTATTTTGACAATGTCAAAATAATGGCGAGCTGGAGGACTTCTTACTTCAACTCCTGTAACCCTCATTTTACAAGGAATAAGGGAAGTTGGAGGAAGAGTGCTCTAACTCGGACTTCCTGCAGTGTAGACAACACCAAAAGCCAAAATAAGCTATTTCGACTTAAGCTACACAATTGATATAGCTCAATTTGCATAGTTTATATCGGCGTTATCCCTGCGGTGTAGACATGCCCTTATAAGTTTTTACAGAATGAACCTCTCTAGTCTGGCACACTCTGGTGTGGTAACATCCGTGGTTTGGCATGATTTTAGATATTCAGATTTCCACTTATCCTGGGTACGATCAAGTTTCCAGCGGTCCCATAATGTTTGTTTACAGCCAACAGACCTGACTGTGTTCTGTGCTGTGATTTAGCTCTAATTTACTCCTAAATGTCTTTTAAGAGTCCAGTAAGCCTTGGACATTTTGGTCATGCTGCTAGACAATATTGATATCCCCATAGTCTGGCAGTTTCAATATTGATGTCCCGTAGTCTGGTTCAGAAACAATCAGGTCCCAAAGATGCCAGACTAAAGAGGTTTAACCTGTTGTTTAAAGGAAAATGGTTAAAAATTCACATTTCCATTCGAATATGTACCTGCTGTTGTTACAAATAACCCATAATATGGCTATGTCTAAAAAAGATGAAGGAAAAAATGCTTTCCGTCTTCTCCCCTCCAGTTTTTCTTTGTACATTTGATGGTATTTTGGGTTAAATCCTAACCCCGCTGAAGACACAGCAGATCTGATAAACACCTAGTTCACACTGTATATACTGATAGGCTTAACAGAACTTTAGTATGGTCACTCTAATACAAATATGTTTGGATGGCCAAAAATGCAAGGTGCTGAATAACCTCAACTCTTATTGACTTCACTGGGAACGCGAGGTCACTTAGCACTTCACAGGGACAGAAGTCCAAAACTAACAAGACAATTGAGGCACTTAGAGTCAAAGGTCAAGCTGCAACTCTGACTACACTCCCCTCTATTATCCAAATGATTAATGGAAATATTGAATAGTACCTGACAACCTAGGACAGAACTCTTTAGGCTCCCACTAGATATACCCACCTGGTTCACTGATGATAACTCTTTGAGTACAGTCTTTCTACCCATTGTGCACCCCATCGAAAATGCATCTAAATCATATTTCCCATCTTTGTATATGAAAACATCATGTGGGACTATGTCAAAAGCCTTGCTAAAAATCAAGATATATTGCATCTAGCACTCTCCGCAATCCACTAGTGACCAACTAGGTTATTTTTACACTGTTGATTCTTAATAAATCAGTGCTAATTATTCCCTATTACCCAATTATCCTGTAGATGTTTACAAATTGATTGTTTAATCATCTGTTTTAGTATCTTTCCAAGTATCTAAGACAAGTTGACCAGTCTATAATTCTTGGGTACTCCATGTTCCTCTTTTTAAAGACTAGGACTGTATTTGCCCTTCTCCACTTCTCTGAAATCTTACACATTCTTCATGATTTCTCGGTGTTCATTGCTAATGGTTCTGAGATTGCTTCAGCTATATTCCTTAAATACCCTAAGGAGAATTTCAACAATGCCTAACACAACGAATACATCTATCGTATTTAATGTTCTTCCCCTAGGTCTTTTTACTTGGGGTTGGCTTCCAGGTGTTGTGCCTCTGGGGTACACCTGTTAACATTTTCAAGAGGTGCTTTTGCAACTACAAAAGCTAGACACTTAGGCTGCATCTAGACTGGCATGATTTTGTGGAAATACTTTTAAGGGAAAAGTTTTTCCGTTAAAAGTATTTCCGCACAAGAGCGTTTAGATTGGCACGGATGCTTTTGCACAAAAAGTGCTTTTGTGCAAAAGCATCTGTGCCAATCTCGACATGCTTTTGTGCAAGAAAGCTCCGATGGCCATTTTAGCCATCGGTCTTTCTTGTACAAAAAATTACGGTGCCTGTCCACACTGGCCCTCTTGCGCAAGTATTCTTGTGCAAGAAGGCTTATCCCTGAGCAGGAGCATCAAAGTATTTGCGCAAGAAGCACTGAATTTTACATTAGAACGTCAGTGCTCTTGCACAAATTCAAGTGGCCAGTGTAGACAGCTGGCAAGTCTAGATGCACCCTTAGGATTCTAAAATACTAAAGATGAGATTCTCACATAATTCCATTACTCCAGGAGTTGGGACTTAAAAAAAATGAATCAACTACCACATGTGTGAAGATAAAAAGTAGGAGTTAACAATACTGCGAGCTGGTTAGGAGTTTTCCACTGGAACACTTTTCTGATGGGAAATTTGGCTAAGGGAAAATTTTGATTTTCCCCTGTAAAATGGTTCCCAGTTCTCAGGTTTCCTGGTTCCTCTGGAACCTCCCAGTCAGATTACCCTGGAACCTGAGCTCCCTAAGCGCCTGAGCTTTTAGTCCCTTGACAACTCAGAGGCCATGAGAAGCTGCCATATTTCCTCAACTGCCAGGTGGGCTGCCTGGGCTCTGGTCAAAATGAAGAGTTAAAACTACAGAATTCATGTTCTGTAGGAGAGTTCTAATTTTCATTCTTTTTCAGAACAATGAATTTCTGGATTTCCCTGCAAAACAGGAATTCATTGGCCAGCTCTCACTGTGACTCACTTTCTAGAATCACAGTTGAATGCTTAATCAGAAATTTTCTCTTCCCATCTCAGTTTTTTTGTGTGCTCAGACTCATTATTTTCAAAGTAATGTTAATGGAAAGCATGAGAGATGGGCAAAGCCTCACAAACTTTGTTCTGTATATTGTACTTTGTTGTAACCAAAACAATCTCTGTAGTTTCCTAGCTGCAGTAAATGGTTTTTGAGATTGATTAAATGTCTTAGCCTTGGTTCAGTTATTAATCATTATCTCAGTACCTATTTATTGTGCTAACCATAGGCTACAAACAGGAGTGATTATCCCTTAAGTCACTGCACTGAGCTCAGCTGGAGACAATGCCCATTTGTTTGGAACCAACTCTATCAAATGCAGATTCCCCACAATTTTAACATGTCAGTTTCTATTTGTTCATATATAAAATGCATAGGCCTCATATCATGAATAATTTGCACTTCAGAGAAAATAAACAAGGTTTCCAATTGTTTGTTTGTTACAGCATGGATGGGGAGAGGTCTAGCACATATATTCCATCTAAATTAATACAACAGGTCTCATCCAATGTGCTGTGCTCATTTTACATCAGTGTAACCTTTTTATTTCAGTGTAGTTAGAGTGGCTCAACATTGGAGTAACACTGAAATGAATCAGGGCCATTCGTCCTAGTTTATATAAAATTCCATTTTGTTCTTTTTGAAAGTGCACTGCTGCAAATTGATTTAGGTTAGCTATGTTTCAGCTTGATTAAGTTTGTTTCTAAAAAAAAACCAGGGGAACAGATACTAAGATGGTATAAATCAGTGTAGCTCCAATGATTTAAAGGTAATATGTTTCATCCAAAATGCTTTCAGCGCAGTAGGTGCAAATCTAGCACATATGTTCTAATCTATTCAAATTATTTGTAATTTTCTGTCAGTAAGAGATATGTTTATAGCATGGTTAAAATATATAGTTTTTTTTTAATTTTTATGTTTTTTCCCATTCAATGGCACATTTCAAAAAGGGTAAGGGTTCAATGCTTGGTGTTCACTGACATGCTTTATTGAAAACAATTCTACTTTATTGCAAAATGAAAACCTTTTTTCAGAGGATTCTTTCTCTAATGCTTGAAGGATTGACATTATGTTGAGCATTCAGTGGTAAATATGCCTCCCTGGAAGTGAGAGAGTCCATAAATCAATATACTGTCATGCTAAATTTCTTCAGAAAGCAAGATAGGCTGCCAATTCCTCTTAAAAAATCTAATTATATTCTTCACTGCCTAAAATTCCCTAGCCACAGGTTAGAGAAGGCTTTATGAGCTGCTGTGTGAGCAAGTGCACCCCTAAAGAGCACCTTGCTGTGTTTACAACAGTCTCACACTCCTCTATTCTAAGTAATCCAGAGTGAGGCTTAAGTAGTAGTTGGAG